ACTAAATACTTTTTTGCCCCACTGTACATCCACCGAGGTCCTCAAGGTCAACTTCATGATTTATTGGTTGAAAATAAGCAAAAAGTCTCATAACAACTGATGTGTATTGTATGGAAAGTACTGTATAGTTTCAAATATCACGACACATGTATAATGTCACATTTGACCTCTGACCTCTCCTTCAAGTTTAGCAAATTGAAGTGATATTAATGCTATCCAGTCTTTAAGTTATGACGTGTGAACCCTGCGTCTGGGTTCAAGCTACTCTGCGTTTATCAAGGCTGTTGTGTTTTTAACATTTTTTAATGCTTTATATTACCACTATTCATTTTAAAGCTCCGTCTTTAAAACTTTATGATGTAACTACAGCCCAGCCCGTGCAGCAGTATATTAATGACTAACCTCATATTGATGATGGATTATCTCAGTTGTTCTCCTGACTGAAGTTTGGTCCGTTTGCATTTCTTGCTAAAACCCTCACGTTAACTTTTATTGAGTGGAAAAAGGTTAGCATTCATCCTCCAGCTTCATTGTGCTAACGTGTTTATAAATATCCCATTATAGTTTGCTTCCGAATATCGTGTCACATTTGACCTCTGACCTCCTTTTTGTATTTCATATTTGCCTTCCTCTCAAGTTGATCCCAAAATGAGTCATATCTTTAAACAAAGTATAGTCAAGAGAAAGAGACTCCACATCCACATAAATAAAAAAAAAAAATCATTAAAAAAAAGATAATTGTACTCAAAATTATGTCAATAATATAAATATAATTTCCTTTTTTCTTACTGAGCACTCAAATCTTTGTCTGTTTCACATTTGCCTTACAGCCACATACACTGAGATCTGTGCAGGCATGCAGAACCTTCTTGCTTTGAGGTGACAGGTAGCAAAAGATTCAAGTCTAAAGGTAAAATTAATATTCAGCCAAATTTCTTTTCAGTTTGGAAGACAGACTGTGAAGTGACACATTAGAATCTCAAGGAATGACTTATAAATATGTACACTCATAGTGCACTTGCAGAGGTCACATATCTAGCCTTTGGGAATGCATTCTTGTAGTCTACATATACAGAGAGAGAAATGGGCTTTTACTGTACAACAATGGACATACTGACTGAGGAACAACCAGGCTTGGAAAACCTTTTGTCCTTAAGCAATAAAGCAAATGTCAAAGCAATATTCATGCAGGGTTATACAGCATGAACGGTGATAAATCACCTTTCAGACTTTTATGCCCTGGATTTCTGCTGCAATTAGCGAGCTTCATAAGCTTAACTGTGAAAAAGTAAAGTGAAATGTTTGTGAAGTCTACATTTCACTTAACCACACATTTATCCATCTGGTTTCTATAAGAGAGCCACAGGGGACAGGTGCCATTACCTGCATGTTTTGAAAGCTTGTGTTTTTCTTCTTTATTTAACTTTGCGAAGTGCACAAATATATTTCTGCACATTATTATATGTTCTCCAACTTTTCCTCTCTTCATCTGTCCATCTTACACACAATTAGAATTATTATGGTTCACTGCTTTTTTCTCCTCTGCAATCAATTGCAGTTTTCGTCTGATGTTTCTATATGAAATCAAATCTGAACCACTAGATTACATTAACAGGAGCTGTCACTTCATACATCTGTGTTATTTCAGTGGCTGGTGTTAAATCAGACGGACTCATAATGTAATGACCTACTAACACATGATGACAGATATAATTTATTACATTCCTCCATCATTATTCAGTTGCCAGGAGAGATATTGGAGAAATAATGGGTCTTTATCCTGTTTAGGGTTATCGGCTTGTTACGTTTTCTAAAGAACATGGGTCACATGATCATTGCTGTTGCTTTTATAGCTCATATTTAAAATTCACATGCTTTCTTATGCAAAATAATTTAAAGCATATCGATAGTTTCCATTTTGCATGTAACATTTTCCCCCCATCTGTGACAGGTGACCATTCAGGGGTGTATCCTTCCTTATGGTACCATGAGAGCTGGGTTAAGCTCCAGCCCAACCAAGACCAAACCGGATAGATGAATGGGGTAAGTAATGATTCACCTGATTACATGAAGGTGCAGATGGTGGTGCATTTTAATATAGTGACATTAGTGGTCATTACCTTATCATAATAAGCTAATATAGGTTAATGTTTTCTCATTCAATACTATTAACATATTATAAGGTAATAATTAAATCTACTATATGTCCCAAACACAATGTTATGTAATCTCTTCTTAATGTAAACAATAAATTAAATAGAAACAGGTAGTTTTACATTCTGCTGTCCTGGTTTTTGTATAGAAACTACCATGTGAAGCAGTTAAAGGCAGAGTACCCAGGTGGGGCACCTTTCAGCACCCTGGCCAGTGACTCAGAGAAGGCTGGGTGTCTTGAACTGTCATCCTGCTTCTAAGTGCAAAAGACAGCCCGGAGTCAATCCTCGACGTGAAGATGCACGGAAACAGTCCTTTTGTCCACAGACAAAAACCTGCAGGCAGTGAACTGGGAGGAGGCAAGTATGCTCAAGTATAACTGTGCACCAAACACAAGTACATATTCAAGGCTTAAACCTGAAGGGTTGAGCATTAGCTGTTAAGGTATTAAAGACATTTTTATACTCTCTCTCTCTTTTCATGGGTTCACATGCACTTGGAAATTTAAAATGTATTATTGTCAGTATTCTTCCAGCTTTTTGTCTTCACTGAAATGCTTGCTAGACTGATTTGAGATCAGGTGATTCACTCTGTCTTTGCTAAATATTTCATTTGTTTAACTTCAGTAACTCCTGTGTTACAGTGTGTTTTGAGCGCCTGTCCATCCCTGAGCTTGGTTCTGCTGGAGGCTTCTTCCTGTTAAAAGGGAATTTTTCTTTCCCACTGTCTCCAAAGTGCTTGCCCATAGGATGTCATAATATTGTTGGGGTTTTCTCTGTTTTATTGTTGTAGGGTCTACCTTATGATATAAAGCCCCTTGAAGCACTATTGTTGTGACTTTGCCCTGTATAATTGACCCACTTTCAATAGAATACATGCATGTTCATGCATTCACTGCTTACACCGTACTTTATAAGTTGTGATTTCCTTTAAATCATGAGCATTTCCGAGGCTTTTTGTACCTTTTCCACTCTTTCTGTTACAGATTGTCCAGAAAAAGGCTACAGAAGAGGTCAGCTGATTTAAAAAAATGTTTTTTGAAGTATAATCTGACCTGTTGATCCCACACTTTGTACTGTGTGGTAATTCCTTTGTATTTTTCCTGTAAAGTCTTGCCATTACATTAGACTAGCATTACAGCTCCCTCCTGATGCGTGTTCTTTATTTGGCTGGATGTTGTGAAAGAGTATTTCTTTATCAATGAAGGCCTCATGCTATCGTCCACATATGATGTCTTTCGTGGATGTCCTGAGCGTTTTATGTTACCAGTGTATTTCTAAGTATTCACTTAGAAACTCTTTTTGTTTCCCTTTTTTTGAACGGCCTTCTTACTGCATGTTTTAATTCAGACAACAGCAGCTTTCATGGGCAAATGTGTCATGGTCCTGGGTCGGTGACCCAGCGCTTTGAGTTTTTTGAGTCATTATTTTCTAGTTTATTCTGATTTTGTATTAGTTCTTTGGGTTTGGTTGTCGTGTTTATTTTCCCTACCTGTGTCTCCCTCTGTGCGGGTCCCCGAGTTTTGTGTTGTAAAACAGCCTGTGTGTTTCCTGTTTTACTTTGTAGGGTCTGTGCCTCGTTATGCCCATTAGTTCCAGCTGTGTCCCCTCCTGTGTGCCATTTCCTGATTACCTGGTGTGTATTTATAGTTTGTGTCTGCCTGTGCTTCTCGTGGCGTCGTCTGTGTTTCTCTGTGTATCTGCCGTGTATTTAATGTTATTCCGTCTCTCTGCTCCTCGCTCCATGTCCTCCTTTTGTATTAGCTTTTCCAGTTTAGGTTTATGTTCAGTTCTGCCCACACCTTGGTTATTGTGCACTGTAAATAAATGGTAAATGGTAAATGGACTGATTCTTATATAGCGCTTTTCTACTCTCTCGGAGCACTCAAAGCGCTCTATACAACATGCCACATTCACCCAATCACACCCATTCTCACAAGCACTTTATCTATACTTAGTGCTATTTTAACTACATTCACACACATTCATACTCCGATGGATGCATCGGAGAGCAACTTGGGGTTAGTATCTTGCCCAAGGATACTTGACATGCAGACTGGAGGAGCCTGGGATCGAACCACTAACCTTCCGATCAATAGGTGACCTGCTCTACCTCCTGAGCTACAGCCACCCCACTTAAAACCAAATAAAACCCACTTGCACCTCCGCCACTGTCTGCTTTTGGATCCTCCTTCCTCACCTCCACACGACTGCCGCCCCAGCCGTGACAAAATGCCACACTTTGAGTCATTTCCCAACCTTTTACCGGTTTAATTTATGAAATGTTAACCCACTCTTGCTGTATGTTTTTTTTTAAATCAACTATCCAAATACATTTGAACCAATAAATAATTTTCTGTCTCTTAAATTCAAGCAGAAAGTTTGAGCCTCAGCTTTCAAACTTCACATCTCCATATGAGACGAGGTTTAAATTAGACATTTTGTTTCTTAATGCTGATAATTGATTCAACTAAAAGCTTAATATAAAGTATATATTTCAGACAGTAATGGTTAAAATACTAGCAAAGCATATCCACTACAGGAAATGAAAGGGGATGGTTTCTATTTTTATTTGTTTTTAATTTCATTTGCAGGTTTAAAATTCTGACTGTGCTGCCGACTGAGAAAGGGAATCACATTTTGACTCTTTTTCAGCTGATGAGCCAAATCATCACCGAGTTGGAGGAAATCCTTCTCTGGAGCAGCAAATAAACCTAAAAAAAAAACCCAAAAATGTCACCACTCTGACTTGTTGCTCCAGCGATTGTTAAGTAAAATCTTACTTGAATGCAGAAGCACAGAACTGACAATCGGTCTTCAAACAACAGGTGAGTGACTGTGGTGAACGAAGGGTCTACGCTAAAAACGAGTGCTTTCCAGTTCCATCTTTTGTTCAAAAACAGCAGGCTGTTATTATAGTAAGAGCATGTTCCTGGCTTTTATGAATAGTGGGGCCTTTGTTCTTTGGCTATAAATGGCACTGCAATTACCTCACAATACCCTATTCAGGGGTCTTCATGTTATAAGAAGGATTTTGACTAGAACTGTTATTTCTCTATTTAGCATGTTAAATGAGGTGATGCATCTACCACTTTGACAGTGTTCCTGTGAAAACCCCTAATGTTAAAGTGTTGTTACAAAAAGGTGGTTTTGCAGTCTGGTTTTGGAAGTAATCGCCTCCTAAATGAAAAATGCTGTCCTCACCTAACTGGTAGTTATACAAGTATTTACAGTTCTGAATCTTGAAAACTCGAAAACATATTTTCTCAGCATTATAAGAGGTTTTGCTATAATTATCGGCGAAACAGGCACTTTTCATGCTTAGTGCTTTTAGCACAGCGCTGTCAGGCTGTACAGGAAAATGCATCATCTTCATCTGGCTCTGCTTGGTCTAAAAAAAACAAGGTGTAGCTGACACAGATGTATAAAACGTGAAAAACATGTCTTTAACAATCAGTAGACCAACAGAAAGCCTGATGTGCTGTCTCCTGAAACGCATTTGCATAGAAGCATAGTCACTACTGATCCTGGAGTTCTTGTAGCAATTCAGAAAGAGTTATGTATTGTGCCTATCTTTTAAAATGTCCTTGAAGACCCATATGTTATAGTGTTTGTGTTGATTCATGGTTTATAGTTCTAATCTTGTTGTGTGTTTGGTTCATATGCCTCCTTCCTGTCTCTCTGTTGTCTGAGAGAGTGTTTTCTTGGTCCTTATTTCAGTTTTCTTTTCTTTTTACAGTTTGTTCTCGATCTGGCCTTCACCGCCTTTTGGTAGCATTTGCTTGCGTGAGTGTCATCATTCTGTTTGAATACAAGATAGCTCGAAAGGGTTTGAATGAATTCTGATAAAAAAAAAATTGCAGGGATGTGGAGTAGAGTCATGTTTACAATCCATTAAAAAATTGGCTTACATCCACAAGTGTGGTGTGTATTGTTAACATATAGAACATATCATATAAAGACATCTAAATATCGCATCAAATTTTACCTTTTCACCTTTTTGACCCCAAAATGTGTTACATCTTTAAAGAAACTATTGCCAGGAGAAAGAAAATGAGCTTCCTAGTTAGTTAGAAATATGCTACAGTATAATATTATACATAGGGATGGGAATTGATAAGAATTTTGCAATTTCGATTCCATTATTGACATCCCTTATCGATTTGATTCCTTATCGAGTCACCATCTCCAAGAAGCATATCAAAGACATTACATTCATACAAGTTAGTTGCATTGTTGTGTGGTCAAATGTTTGTACATGTTGGATGTGTTTCCCCTCATTGCTGTGATCAGTGTTGCACTTGTTACTTTTCTTAAAAGTAAGTAAAGTGAAGTACATGAATTAATTACTCCCAGGAGTATTCTACATTGTACTACTCATTATATTATTTTCACCCTCTCCATAAAATGACACATTGTCTCATAATTACCATTTAACAATATAAACCTACAGTCCCACACACCAACACAAATCCCTATCGTAAAGAGAACACACATATGATCTTTCTCTTAGTATTTAGGCATGAACACAAAGCAAAGTAGAAAATCAGCACAATGACACAAAGAAACTGATCGCCACTGTGATTCTGCTGTAGAAACATGAACAGGTAGGGTTGGACAATTACTCAGCTTTAACATCACTCCTGGTCTTAGCTAGCTTAGTGTTAGCATACTTGCCAACTGCCAAAGTTGTGTTAACAGCATAATGCAGTTGTTTCTGTTCTGAATGCTGTTTGCAGTGTACTATCGTGCAATAAAAATACAATGTACATGTCCTCGCTGCAGACTGTGCCACTGTTTTCCGCCTCTGGCTCTCAAACAGAAATCAGCTGATTGTAGTTCACCCGATAAACAGGATGGACAGGCAGGCAGAGGACCAAGTCCAAGGAATTGCAAGGAATACAGGTTCCTTCCCTGATTATATATACTAAGCCCATTTTATTTATGTACAGTTTTTTATAAATCACAACCTGTTATTCATTATCTACGCCAACGTAATGCTTGTGTGATCAGAGTAAAGACATGCACAAAGCCATGCTGCCCTTATCTGACTTTTTACTGCACTACAAACTTCTTAAAGTATGTTTAGTAAAGAAAATAAATATATACAAAATACAATACTACTAAGTGAGCTGAGTTGGCAAAGGTTTGCAATCTTGGTGTCCTTGAAGTTTAATTGTGAGTTTGGATAAAAGCTCTTTATTTGTTTAGCTATTCAGTTTCAGTTTTGTTTAAGCTGTTTGGTTAGACATAAGATCTTCACTCTTAAGGTGAAACTTAAGATTGTTTGGACTTATAATCTGGGGGAAACTATTATTACTATTTTTTATCCCTTAGAGTTATTATCCCTGAGGCCCCTCTGTATATATTCTGCACCTTCTGTAACAATAAATATGCTGAAGTGTCTTTTAACAGCCACTTTCAAGGTTTCTTTATGCCAAATGTTCTTTGTAAAGAGAGATGACAGCCATCAGGACTGTGTCACTTCAAAATATTTGCACCATCATAATTACTCCAGTACTACATTTTCCTTCTTATGACTGAAATGAATAAATGAGCATCCATTTAATTCTGTGAGTGATTACCCTGCCAAATAAAAACAGAATAAAAGTGTTTTTATAGTCTGAACCCATTCTTACCTCACTAATCAGAAGGTTGGCAGTTCAATTCCTGTCTGCTCCAGTTTGCATGCCAAATATCCTTGGACAAGAGTCTAAGCCCAAGTAAGAATGTGTGTGAATGTTAGTAGAAAAAGAGTAGAAAAAAGTGCTTATGTGACTGGGTGAATGAGGCAAGTTATTTAAAGTGCTTTGAATGCACAGATAGAGCAGAAAGGTGCTAAATAAGAACCAGTCCATTTACCATTTAATTTTGCTGGTGCTTTAAATGCATTTAAAGGCACGTTTAATCTCCCCGGTGAGCCAGTGTCTAAATAATAAAGGTATCTTTGCTCCGAAGGCTGATATTTTTTCTCTTTACATCAGGAGGTGAAATAAAACATTCTTATTGATTTCCACAGTGAATTACAGCACTCTGCCATGTGCAGGAATGTGTTTCACAAGTAACTGATCATAGTTACCAAACAAAAACTGCAAACAAAGGTATGGCTGCCAGCAGCTCAGCAATGAAGAGTATTTCATTTCATATGATATCAGTACATGAAATAATCGCTGAGACATGACAGTCACAATCAGTTTGGATTGGGTGTAACAGGCGAGTGACTTGACAAAAGAAATTCAAAATCAAACTGATAACCTTTTTGAAGCTTGGTATGAATATTATCTGAGCCAAACTGATTGAAATTTGGAACAAAAGAACCCGTCCACACCTTCCTTGTTAGGAGAGAAGCAGGCTTTCTATTTTCACTGACATGTTTCAGAGCCGAGAGCAGGAAAAAATACTCCGGGTATTTGGAAAAGTCTGACGACTGAACTTTCGGCTCATAGAGATTGCATGAACATGAGATGATTAATAATATTAATAAAAGTATCCACCACTGCAACCATATGTGTATGTTTAACAGTGTGCTTCAAAGACACCATGATCATTGTTTGTAGAATTTTAAATGACCTCAGCACATAGTTATGGACAGCTGCAATGACATGCACTTGATTTGACACCTGCCAGTCTGCCACAAAATGCTGAGCCACATCCTGAGTGCCTCTCACAATCTATTCTCAGACAATCCCCCCCACCTCCCACCACCACCATCATATATTCTCCTCTGCTGTATCGCGCCATGACAAGCTGTGTGTCAAGCACTTAAAGCATGGGTCTCAAGTGACACATGTGTCCAGATAAAGTAGGGGCTGTGAAGGGCCTGTGTATTACATTTGTGGACAATAAATTGATATGATCCACAGCATCACGCCTCTTCTGAGCTTACCCTAAAGCCCGTGGTACATTAAGTTGCAGAGCAGCAGAGGCCATTCTCACAAGGTCAACATCAGAGGTAAGGGGATAATAATGATGTAGGAGGAAGGAGGAAGCATGGGGAGGATGAAGGAAGCTGGGAAACCTGCTTGGTCAGTTCAGTTTAAACTTGTATTGTTACATTTGTAAGAGCCCTGGATTGTTATTCATTTTGTAGATTTGTCATTTAATTAAAACCTCCTGTGTCCGCATGTCTAACCAACTCAGCCCCTCACAGTTATATAGACAACAAGAAAAGGCAAACTTGGGGGAAGAGAAGTTATGATATATCTAGCAGAGCTGTACAAAGCTTGGCTTGGCTGCTGAACTCATGACTGTTTTCTAACTCAACTTAAAGCTCAGATATTGGTGTAATTGCAGCTTTGGCCTGCTGATAAGCACATGAGAGAATATCATCTCAATAAATGGGGTAATAACTCCAGAAATATTACTCATTTTAGTATATACTGTTATATTAAAGTGGAAATGACACAGCTGGCTGCCCAGATGTGCGAGTGCTTTTCATAAATAAATGTAAACCCTAGCAATTGAAAGCATAATGTGGGACAGGGCGAGATTGTGAATTTGGGTCTGAACATACCACGGAGAAAGTGAACATGTCCTTTTCACCTAATAAAATACTTTCTGTTAATAAATGTAACAATTTACCCGTCTGAAATTGGGCTACAGTGACAGAACTGGGTGTCTCTTTGGGGCAACAGCAAGACAGATTTAATGTGACCAAACAGGTAACAGTCCATAACAAATCAACTAAATGTGATATTATCCATAAAGCACCACTCTGCTGGCACTTTTCCTCTGATTTACACATGAAACAGAATCTCTGAGACAACCTTCTGACCCCATTTGCACTTCATCGTCCTAGACATCTCCTCAGAGCACAGTCGTCAAATTGACCTAGAAACACACCTAAATACCAACCGCCCAATCCCACTGCAATGATTAAATGAGGGTGGTATTCACAGCAGAAACCCAAGTGTCTTGATTCAACTCAATTAGGCCTGCATATGGGAGAGATGTTGTCAGAGTAAATGTCGCTGTACAGTTTTCACAGGTAATTACCTCGCTCCACTGTGACAAGGGGCCTATTTGGTGGAAAGTGTTAGAACAGACTGGGAAGGGAAGACTAAGTTTCCCCATCTAATTCTGGAACTTTCCATTGTATGCAAAGTCAAGAGACGCAAAAGAGGGATATTTTTATCACTCTGCTTTAGCATCAAATTGTTGCCCTCCCACTCGCATGCAGTCGATATTTGTTTGGCTACCAGGATTTGCTTTTAATCATCAGCTAATTGCTGACAATCGTTGAACTGGTGGTTTATTATTATTATTTTGTGTGTGTACTGTATTGTCTGTGTCTGCTGACATGACACATAAAGCAGCAACAACCAGAAGAGACTCAAAGTTGTGTTATTGCTGCAAACTGATCTATTTGTTCACTCAGGTTTTTTTTTATCTGCTTACTGTCGCTTCAACATAAAACTCAGTTTAAATCAAAGTGAAAGGCGACATGCTGTTCCTCGCACAAACGAAAAAAACAACAACTGCATTATCTGTCAGACACGCCACGCGCGTGTTTAGAGATAAGAGTTGAGAGGTTAGTTTAGCATGTGGAGGAAAGGTTGCGCTTGTTTGACTCAGAAGTGAGTCAAGGTTCAGCAGTGCAGGGTGTGCTACCTGCACACAAATGCTACGACTCCTCTCTGCCTGCAGCGGAATATATGGACGCCAGGAGAGACGATGCCTGACACTCATCATGTTTTAGCATTTCACTGCTCCTCGTTATTCCTGGCTGAAAATGCAATTTATGGAGTTTTACAGAGCTGGCAGATTGGAGGCGGGTGAGGCCCAGACATCTGTGCATCTGGATGCTTGTGACTTCACACGCAGAGTTTCAACCTTGCGCTCAAACCCAGTGCTGCACGGTGACCTCGTTATCATCTAAAACAGCCCCAAAGTCGGCTGGAAATCTCCCCATTAACGCCGAAGTGATTACTTCATTCAGGGCGGCTCATTGCTTTTGTGCCTGATTTAGAAAGACCGCACAACATCTCCCACTGCGAGAGATGCTTTCTAAATAAAGACAGTGAAATGCTATAACTGGTGGTGATATATTAAAGAGCTGAGGGCTTCTACCTTTCTACTGCTACGGTATTGACTTCATTTACATGCATGCAGACTTGGACGCACCGTTGATTAGTGGAATTGGTTCAGCACCTCGGACAGCGCCGAGCATCGATACCTGCACTGAGGACGTCAGAGCAGAGGTGGGGCGGGGGTGGTGGTGGGGAAGAGCAGCTCCATAAACTTTATTGAGCGGGACTTTTCGTCGAGTCGCGCTCTGAGCAAGAGCGGGTTGGCGTTTCTCTTCCAGGAGCGCCATTATCGCCCGATTGGTCGATGCTGCTGGATGCCCAACGCCGCTCCTTCCATCCACACACCCTCCCAGTCACCGAACGTCAGCTACCGGAGAGCGGGCCACGGTGATTTAAACACGGACAGAGAGAGAAGGTGTTTGCGTGAGAGACAGGAGCGTCTCCGGAAAGAGTGCGAGTGCACACTGTAGACATCCACACGGTGGAGCAAAGCCTACAAACTTTATTCCTTTTCTTTCTTTCATTTCTTTTTTAAGATATATTCCTATTTACGAACACTCCCCTCCCCCAAAAAAAAAAAAAAGTTTGAAAACCCCAACAAAAAAAGAGCAAAAACAACAACTATTTATCACCCCACTTGTCCGCTTGGCTCTACTTGACGTTTCTTTTTAAAGCAACAAGTGTTGTCGGCTACGATTCTTTTTTCGTAGCCGAAAAAAGGAGGAAAAAAAGAAATACCGATGATATATTAGCTACCGTGGTCACTCGGTGTGGCACCGCAGTGACACCAGGACTGCCATGATCGTTTCCAACGTGAGCCTGAGCGGCTGCGCGGATTTCAACAGCGCTCTGTGTGCCGGAGCCGGGGAAGGGCACCTGGGGGGCGGATCATACCGGACCACTCTCACCCCGACTGGGAACCTGGTAGTGGCTGTGTGCCTGGGCTTTATCGGCACTTTCGGACTTATTAACAACCTGCTGGTGCTTGTTCTTTTCTGCCGCTACAAGATGCTGCGGTCGCCCATCAACCTGCTCCTGATGAACATTTCCATCAGCGACCTGCTGGTGTGCGTACTGGGGACTCCGTTCAGCTTCGCGGCCAGCACGCAAGGAAGGTGGCTCATAGGGGAACGGGGCTGCGTGTGGTACGGCTTCGCCAACTCGCTCTGTGGTGAGTACAAATGCGGGATCAGTTAGGTGGTGCTATTTGTGTGCTATAGGTTTCTGTACTGTATACAGGCTCTATATTCTTTATTTCACACGAGGTCGTGAGTGTTGCTGCGCGGAATGCGTGGATCCTCTCCAAAGCACTGCGCTTTGTAGACTGGATCGTGGTGTGCTTTATTCGTACAGACGAAATGATGATTTTGAAAAAGAAAACGTAAAAATGTCCAACTGTCTCTCGTGCACTGAGTCATGTGTGAAGCCATATCAAACTTTCACAGAAAAGCTTAAAAATCTTCGGACTCCTAATGAATTAAATCTTGAGATAATGAGCAATGCTCGTGTGCCACTCTGGAGACAATAAGAACCTGTTAATACAGCTGTTTGTTCGTTCTGCATGACTCGTCGCTGCTGGAACAAGGCATTTTGTTTATTCCAAGCTTTCTCTCGTTCTTTTCGTGCATTTTGGGTGGGATCATCCTGCAGTCTCCTGCGCCATTAAGGTCTTTCATTAAGGTCTCGCTTAAAGTGGAGGTTATCTTATTACGTTTTATTGTTTTAAAAAACAAACAAACAAACAAATAAAAAACTCATTCTGCACGAGACAAGTGGTTCATGAGTCCAAACCGTGATTCGAGTTGCACATCTCCTCTCATAATCCCGATGAAGCTTTCACATAAAGATGCGCAGGTTTGGTCCAGGTGACGAGCTGTGCGCGGTACTGCTCATTATATCTGTGGCTGTGGTCTGGATGGAGCTCCGTGACAGACCGTACCGTACCGGTCCCTTCTGCAGCTGTGTGCATCATTATGACATTCTCCTTGTCATAAGACAGCTCCACGGTTTCACGAAAGTAATTTAGTCATTTAGAAATCGTTTGTTCAAATTCCATTATGAACTCTGCAAGCATGTCACAGTACTGTCAGCTGGTGATTTTTGTGTGCAACCTGCTATTAAATGGCCGCTAAATGCTTATTACCGTTTAGTTGAGAGGCTGTACCTGAGGCGAATCAAACCTCCTCAGTGCACTGTTCATTTAGCTGCTCCTGCAGGTCTGTAGCGGGCTGTGGCGACGCTGTCTGCCTCCGTGGCAGGGACATCTGCAGCATTTGTTGCAGAATAAAACATTTCCAAGGGGGAAAGCTGTGTAATGAGAAAACGAGATGTTGCTATACCTTTGCTCAGCAGTGCTGATATAAATAAATTGGGTATAATGATGCACACAATAGAGATTAATGCTGGTATGCACTTGCTTGATACTGGGCCAGACTGGATTGCGGAATTAAAGTAGAGCGATCAGACCAGGTGCGCTATATACCAGCAGCAAACAAGGAGTTTCAATTAGCATTAAACACAAACTTAATTGTTCTCTAAGACTTGTATTAATTAAAACCGTCAGTGCACACATCCGGGTCACTTGGATGAAGTTCTTTTTAATGCAAGCCTTATTTCTGTATAAAATATGAAAATGTTCTTCTGTCAGCAGGAGTCCTTGGCCCAGTGCCTGATTTAAAGTGTTTAATGAGCAGAGTCGCAGACACTGAAAGACACCGATGTCCCATCTTGAATCTTTATCACTGCTGTATATTATACCAGTTCCCTCTTGCTTTTAAATCAGTTCATATTTTAGTTGCTTGGCAGGTAAAAAGTTGAAAAAGAAGAATTCCTAAAGTTCACTTTTTAGTTGAATCAAAACACACAAGTGACCTTTGGGAAGACTTAAAAAACATTTGATGAAAATTTTGAGCTTTTCAGTTACAGAGACCACAAATTCTTTGTGCAGCTGCGAACGGAGCGAGTGTTCATGCTGCATGTCTGCGGTCAGCGGTCGCAGCCTTTCACTGATGAAGTTTGCAAGGGCTGATAAATCTGTTCTAAAACTTCTCTCTCACTCACTTCAACACATCTAATCTTCTGATGTTTAAAGGCCTGCTTTAAGCTGAGAAATGGCCACTGGAGCCAAACATTAGGTCCTCTGATACCTGCTGCAACTAAAGATTTCGGGCGTTTGATCTTATCTCGAATAGGATTACAGCTTGTTAGCCACCTATGTGAGAGTCCAGTTTCTGTGAAGCAAAAATCCCTCCCAGACAAAAGTCTGATTTCTACTTGAGAAACATTTGTGTTACATAATTTCCCATCCTTACTTTATGGTCATCCTGTGGCTCTGAGATCGTCACGCTTCTTTGTGGTCACTTTGTGCATTATGTGAGCACCGAAACCTTCCTATCCAGGCGACAAAGGAAGAAGCTAGACACGCAGCAAACAAGTCCAGCAGGGGTTTTAATCCCCTGTTTTTATCTGCTCTTTCACACCTTGATCTCTGGCTAACATTTACACGCAGTGCACACTAACTAAATTGCATTTTACTTTCCACAAAAGCCTCGTGAATCTGTCAGCCTTTTAAATTCAAAACAGGCTCTCGACTGGTACACTCGCTTCCTCTGGGATAAGTTGGCAATTTCCAAAACTTAATTTCTGTCTTATCATGGTGCAAAAAAGGCAACCTTCCAATCATTTTACAGTATCTGAGCGAGCTTTGATCGCATCCACCGTCTCGCTAACTCGAGTGTTAGACCAAGATTAAGCACCATCTGAAAATATGTAACACTGACCTCCACAAGGAGCCAATTTATTTAACATCTGACAAAAAAAACTGGGCTTCTACAAACTTAAATATTGCAGGGAGACAGAGAGTGTGTGTGTGTGTGTGAGGGAGAGAGAGAGAGAGAGAGAGAGAGAGAGAGAGAGAGAGAGAGAGAGAGAG